ACCTCTCCTCACCCTACACCTCCCCCCCTCACCCCACTCCTACCTCCCCTCATCCCACTCAAGCCTACTCTCACCCCACTTCAGCCTCCCCTCATGCCACTCGTGCCTCCCCTCATGCCACTCATGCCTCCCCTCATCCCACTCCTACCTTTCCTCACCCCACTCAAGACTCCCCTCATCTCACTCTTGTAAATCCTCTCTATGATTGGGCTTTGTATTGAAAGGACACCAGGGCAATACGCAGGTAGGTGTGTGTGTGTGTGTGTGTGTGTGTGTGTGTGTGTGTTTATTTGTTCCCGTGTCCGGCCACTGAACAGAAAAAAGTGTTGAAAAGCGTTAAATACATACATACATAAGTTTTAGATAGATAGATAGATAGATAGATAGATATATAGATAGATAGATAGATAGATAGATAGATAGATAGATAGATAGATAGATAGATAGACAGATAGATAGATAGACACACTACAATATAAACCCACGAATATATATTTTTTTCACAGAATTATATCAACATACTATGGCGTTAATTTCAGCAGTGGAGGGGGGAGGTGTAGGAGGGCATGGATTTGAAAAGCTGTTTCCTATATGCAAATGCCAATCCCAAGTTATTGAGTCCGATATGAACGTGTGACAGGAAACAAAATACCTGAATAATGGATGAACTTGCACATAACGGTACGTCCTCCTGTCCCCAAGGCACCCCTTCCTCTCCTCTCTCTCCTTGTCCTCATCTTCCTCTAATTTAGTCCTCAACCTATACCCCCTGAACCCCCTCCTTTACTCTGCCCCTCCCTACTAACTTCCTGTACCTCTCTGTCTTAAGCCCACCCCCCATACCTCAACTTCCTGTCAGCAAGAATTCCTGCCAACAAACTCACCGTCAGCTAGAATTTCTGGCACTGCGGGATAGAATGGCTGACATTAGGAAAGGGAGAGAGAGGGGGCAGAAAAACCCAACACCCATTTTTTCCCCTGCGCCATAGAACCTCCGTGACACCTTCCTGCCTGACACGCACAAGGGAACGGCTCTGTCCTACGAATAACTTAACAAGACACAAGAAAGGAAACTACTGAGTCGGCGCCGCCATCTTCTTCCCCCCCGGTACGGTCTCCTGGTCGAGCGTGTGAATAGGAACGAAAATCTGGTGGCGGGAGGAGCAGACAAGGCCTCTCTGAACGAACGTTAAGGAGAGAGACACAGAAAGACAGACAGGCAAAGAGATACAGAGAGAGAGAGAGAGAGAGAGAGAGACGCAGACAAAGGGAGACAGAGCGACCGAGAGACAGACAGACAGACAGACAGAGAAAGAATGTCCTAAACTACAATAAAACCAACATCCCATTGCGACATCAAGTTGGCAAAACACAGTTTCTAAGTGGCAAGCGAACGAGCACTAAGGGTCGTCCCAGCGACACAGGCGGACCGTGAGGCGGCATTTGTGATGACGCTGGGTCAGGTGAGGTCAGGACACACATGAAAAGTTTTCTGTGCTGGAGGTCAGGATGGAACAGGTTGAAGGGTAGGAAACAAAATCTCAAATTTAACCAAAACTGAACCTAACCTAACCTAACCTAACCTAACCTAACCTAACCTAACCTAACCTAACCTAACCTAACCTAACCTAACCTAACCTAACTTAACCTAACCTAACTTTGTATAGTGTACATTCTGTTTGTTTGTTTTTTGTTTTGTTTTTTATAGGTAAAATTTTTACTTTTTTCCTAAGAATTTTTCTTCCAGGCACCGTCAATTCAGGTCAAGTTAGGTCAGATCTAGTCAGGGTAGAGAATCAGAGTCAAGTTTTGAATCTGGGAGGCCATTTACAAGTCACGAAAGGTCAATTTACCGTATACTACTCAACCCCGCTGACGTCATAACAACATCATTAGTCTGTGTTTTCGTTTCTTGTTTCCACCTTTTGTTGGTCTGACTCACACGCGAAAAAATTCTCATTTCACCTTTTTTACGGCCAGAATAACTCACATGGATAAAGGGATTTAATATGGGGCTGAGCTTTGAAGTTGGGTGGGCTTGTGTGTGTGTGTGTGTGTGTGTGTGTGTGTGTGTGTGTGTGTGTGTGTGTGTGTGTGTGTGTGCGTGTGTGTGTGTGTGTGTGTCCTTTAATAAACACCACATAATGCCTGTGTTAAAATAAAAAGCATTAAACCCTATATTTAATCTCGTTTCACCCTGTGTTTACGTGACCAGCTGTGTAAATAAACCCGTTAAGCCCCACCACAGCTGCGGTCGTCCACGCTTAGTAAACATATGAATACACAAATCCGTAGTGTATCATTAGAGTGATTAAAAAAACAAACAAAAAAAACATGAGATGAGTCAGTGAGTTATTAAGTGAGTCAGTGAGTCATTTAGTGCGTCAATAAGTGGGTCAGTGGGTCAATAAGTGAGTCAGTGGGCTATTCAGTGAGTCATTTTGTGAGCCATTCAGTGAGTCAATCAGCAATTCATATGTGAGTCAAATGGTTATTCAATGAGTCAGTGAATCATTCAGAATACTACTATGTCATGACCAGTCAATGAGGCAATCGGTGACTCAACATCAGAATCAGATATCTACTCAGTTAGTTAATGAATCGGTGAGTCAGTGATTCAGGAAGGTCCCACCGCGCGCATCAAAGCACTATCACAAACACGATGTGAGTAATCTGAAACAAAATATACCAAACAAAAATAGAAGTTGTTTGTTCAAGTTCCGAACCTGAAGCAATGACACGGTGAACTGAACAACTGGCAACTACTGTGTGGAAAGTTTGTTATTCTAAGTTTATTTATTACATATTTTACCTGAGAGAGAGAGAGAGAGAGAGAGAGAGAGAGAGAGAGTAACAGTCCGAATATCCAATATGTCTATACCGATTTACCTGTCAATTAAAACATCTAAAATTAATTACCCAGGTGCGTACATCGTTAATGACTGGATAATCTTTAATGCAATATTAGTGTTAATATTTATGAGTCCATTAGGTACAGAAATGTTTCCTTTAATGTAATCATGGTTAATACTCGGTATAACACTATTTAACACGGCAGCACGGAGATTAACACGGTATAACACGGTTGAACGCGGCATAACACGACTAATCATGGAATAACACAAGACAAAATACAACTTAAAGCGCCTTAACACCGTACGACTAACTAAACACAACTCATAGATTTAACTTAAAAAATAATTCGCTCATTACCTCAAATTCATATTCAGGTTAGGTTAGGTTAGGTTACGTTAGGGATGGTTAGGTTATGTTATGTTAGGTTAGGTTAGGGATGGTTAGGTTATGTTAGGTTAGGTTAGGGATGGTTATGTTATGTTAGGTTAGGTTAGGGATGGTTAGGTTATGTTATGTTAGGTTATGTTATGTTAGGTTAGGTAAAGAAAGGCAATGTTAGGTTAGGTTAAGGATGGTTGGGGTTATGTTATGTTAGGTTGGGTTAGGGATGGTGGGTTATGTTATGTTGGGTTAGGGATGGTTGGGTTATGTGTTAGGTTAGGTTAGGGATGGTTATGTTATGTTAGGTTAGGTTAGGGATGGTTATGTTATGTTGGAGTTAGGTTAGGGATGGTTAGGTTATGTTATGTTAGGTTAGGGATGGTTAGGTTATGTTATGTTAGGTTATGTTATGTTAGGTTAGGTAAAGAAAGGCAATGTTAGGTTAGGTTAGGTTAGGTAGTTCCCGGCCTAATATCCCACTGCCTATTACCTTATTAATTAACTTATATTGAACAAAGGATAAACCACCTCCTTTGTTTTTGTCAGCACCACTACTAATTATTTGACAGCAATTATTCCAGTTACTGTAGTTTCGCTTGAGGATCATTAAACAATCACGAACTGGCTTTTATTGCTCTATGTTTGAGCCAGACTTCATTACATGCTAATTAAATGGGGTTTTTTGACGTTAGTAGTACCCCCTGGAAACTCTCTCTCTCTCTCTCTCTCTCTCTCTCTCTCTCTCTCTCTCTCTCTCTCTCTCTAATAATTTCTTCTTTTGACATTCATACTAATCGGAAAACAACTACTCTTCCCTCCCTTCATTCCTCCCATTCACTCTCTTTCTCCTCCTTTCCTTCCTCTCCCACCTCTCCCTTCAATCCTTTCCTTTCACCCCCTATCTTTTCTACCACTCCCTCCTTTCCACCTCCCTTTCTCCGATTTAATAATTATTTTTTTTTGAGGGAAGGAGGAGACGTTCCTGCTAATCAGGAAAACATCTCCTCCTTTCTCCGCCTCCTCCTCACCCCTTCCTCGTCTCTTCCTCCCTTCCCTCTCTCCCTGCCTCCCTCTCACCCCTTCCCCCCTCTTAATAATTTTATCCTTTCACGCTCAGGCTGCTAAAAAACACACTACCCCCTCCCTTTTTCGTAGCCTGCCCCCTCCCCGTGCTGGGCTTTGTACAGTAGCCACTATGATTTACGACGATGACTAGCTAGTACAATGCTACCTCATTAAACGTACCGGGTAAAATGAAAGAATTTAATACAGTATTATGTAGCATACCAAATATTATATGGTACTGAGAGAGAGAGAGAGAGAGAGAGAGAGAGAGAGAGAGAGAGGTTACTACAGCTAGGATTACCATCACTCACCTGCCTTACCTTACCTTTAACACCTGTTCTCATATCATTACCTGTTATTTTCTTTACACATGCCCTTATTTTTTCGCCTGTTCTTATTTAACACCTGTCATTATTTTACCTGTTGTTATATTGCTCCCTATTCTTAGTTGTTGAATATCTTTACTTGTTTCACCTGAAGCTAAAACACGAAAATACATGTTCCTCAACGCCATTTCACTTCCAGGCCTTTATCATGTGAGGATGCGCATACAGTATTTTGCTTTTTCCTAGCGGTCAAATTATCATGTCGTAATTACTGTATCATGCCTAATTACCATGTATCAATTACTGTATCATCGTATCTAATTATCACGTCTCTTTCATTTCAGGTGTGGCTGGTGGTGACGACCCCCCACTCCCAGCTCGTCACTGGAAGCTGCGGTACAGAGACTGATCTACGGACTTTCCCTGAGTGACAGCTAAAAATTGGACAGATAATTCCTTGAGATTATGGCAGCAGCGAGGCGTGTGCGACTATCACGGTATCTCGCCCGGGATTAAAAAAGATTTCACTCGTCCTGATGATGGCGGGGAAAAAATGCAGATTGTCGGTGATGAATTAAATGTGAACTTTTCTGCCGCCCGACATGCGATAGATCGTACCTGGTAAAAAGAGAACCGAGGTCATTAGTTATTTTTCTTTATATAATTTGAATTGAAGGTTGGAGGATTGATTTTTTGTGAGTGAAATGTGACGCAGCAGAGGAAGACGAGTTTAACGGATTACACTTTTATTTTGTCTCCTTAAAGTGATATTCTCAATTTTGGAAAGATGACAGACACAGGACCATAAAGCGGCCGCTCTCCTGCAGGTGTTGTGGTCTTCAGTCACTCTTCTGGTTGTCTGGGGTAAAACAGTTTGTCCTCAATGAAGAATTAGGTTTTTTTGGCTGTGCTGAACTATTCAGATCCTGATAAGTTAATTGTTGTTGTGGTAATGATGGTGTTGTCAGTCATTCCATCCTCGGTCGCTGTCTGGTATGACATGATCACCTGAGTGCCTCTGTGTTGTCCGTGCCGCGCCCACCCCGCTCACCTATCCATGTTGGAGGAGTCAAGTCACGGTGGTGAGGGAGGAGTGGTGGGGGAGAAGGATGATGGTGAGAATGTGTTTGAGGAGGTGAGCGGTGTAGAGGTGTCCTGCAGGGACCATGGTGCCTGCGGGGGCTTCTCCCCTCAGGAGGATCTCACCAATCCTTTCCTGCCCCTGGAGAAGCTGGGCAAACTCCTGCTGGAGCCAAGCCTCCCCAACAACACCAACACGTCGTCGCATCACCCGCTCTTCAACTTCTCCATCCACGAGGCGTACGACATCATTTCCGACACCCAGGCCGGGTACCTGGACGGGGTGACGGAGGTTGTCTTCATCGTCTGCTACGTCAGTCTCATCCTCTTCGGCGTCGGGGGCAACATGATGGTTGGTTGGGTCATCTGGCGCAAGAGGACTATGCGGACGCCCAGGAACCTGTACATAATAAACCTCACAGTGTCGGACCTCAGCATGTGCTTGGTGTGTATGCCCGTCACACTCGTCGGTCTGCTCTACAAGAACTGGGGGATGGGGAGCCTCGCCTGTAAGCTGGTGCCGGTGCTGCAGGGAGCCAACATCATGGTGTCAACCTCCACGGTGGTAGCCATAGCGGTGGATCGTTATGCCACCATTGTTAAAGCGGGAGGGTCGACGAGGAATAAGTTCCACGTAGCGGCCTCCATATGTGCCATCTGGGTGTCGTCTGTGCTGTTTGCGCTGCCGCTCTACTTCTACTACATCGTGGCGCAGGTGAAGCTGCAGCACATCCTGCTGTACTCCCGCTGTGTCGACCACTGGCCCTCCAGGAGCGCGAAGAACGTGTGGATCATCGCGCTCCTGCTCACACAGTATGGCATCCCCATCGTGGTGCTGAGTGTAGTTCACGCCCGCATCAAGCGTTACCTCAGCCAGCACATGATGGGCCAGTATGACGCCAGGCGAGCACAGAAGGAGATAGAGCGTAACCGTAAGACAACAATCTTGCTCTCCACTATAGCCGTGGCTTTCGCTGTCTGTTGGCTACCTTGGAACATCGTCAACCTGTTGGCAGATTTCGAATACGAAGGTTTCAAAGACCCGACTCACTTGTACACGGTGTTTGGCGCCTGTCACATGATCGCCATGAGCTCGGCGTGCATCAACCCCGTCCTCTACGGTTGGCTCAACACCAACCTGCGCCGAGAGCTGCTCGAGTTCCTGCCACCCATCTTCGCTAAGATGGGCTGGATCCTGCCGGAGTCCTTCAGGAGGAGAACCGGGGACTCGCCAACGAGACAGCCGGAGAGCGTGACGCTGCTGGTATTCCAGGGCAACCAGAACAACAGCATCCAGACGGTGGCTCACCCGCCTCAGACCATCACCACCACCATCATCAAGGACGACACCTAGCCAGGTCAGTGTACCTCTCTCACACACCTGTTGTACACCTCACTCTCTCACCTACTGCACACCATGTCATTTCACTCTCTGTTTCTTATTCAGGATGTCTGTAGATAACCTTACTTTCTCCACTGAACTGTGCTAACTGTTGTTTAATTCCTCTTAACATCTCTTTATTTACATATAGAACTCTGTGTCTTAAAGGAACTGGGTTCTTCTTCTTCTTCTTAACATACCACTACTCTGCTACGTACGAAAAGGAATCATATTTAACAGTCACAAACAAGCAAACTTTTAACAAAATTCCAAAATACCGACAATAAGCTTTTAAAAAATCCCCAAATAGCGCGTTTTTATTTGTTTTCTAGATCAACAGAAGGTGGTGTGTGCGTGCATGTACGTGTACAAAAAATAACACCTTTCCAAAAATTTCACAAAACAGAAAAATGTGTCATTTATTATTGCAAGAAACTTTAACAATATCACAATCCCCCATCCCCGTCCCCTACCCCACAATCCCCCATCCCGTTCCCTACCCCACAATCCCCCCCCCCCAGGAACAACAACCTCCCACAGTTACCACACTTCCCAACACCAGGACTAACACGGTCTTGTTCACCCAGTTGTTCCCTCCCTCCCGTCTTGGCTTTGTGAGACTCTGATTACCTGATATGAGTAACTTAATTTGGGGCAATAGTTTCCCTGAATTTTTTTAGAACAAGAGCCGTCTTACTTTGGAGGGTGGTGGGGAAGAGGGAGGGGGGGGGGGCAGTAAGTTGGGCAGTGGATATATAAACAGGGCAATAACCAGCATATATCGAGGGTAAGGATATCTGAATATCTTTATTTAGAGGCAATGGTTTTCTGATTTCGGGGCTAAGGTCATTTTGTTCCAGTTCACAGCCATATTGGAGTTCATAAATTACCCCTCCCCCCCCCTCTTCCACCGATACCGGAATGACAGCCGATAACCGTTATTGTTCCGGTAGCCGAGGACTGCCACACCACCTGAAGCTTTGTAAGGCGCCGACAAGGATCTACAGCCAACCTGAATTAATGTTCACGAGAAGACAAAGTCAGCGGGAGTACTTGAAGAAAAAGTGTCGGCCGTGAGCGCATAAAAAAAAAAACTTCCACATGCAAGAAAATAAACACTGTTATTTTAATCTGAGATGGTGAATTAGTAACAGGTGATGCTAATTACTGCTCAGGTTTATAATACTAAATAATAATATCTTCCCAAGTTTGTAATTTCTGTATATCTTTCTCTTTTCAATCAGCAAACTTATGTGTCACAAGTGCCATATACGTCAGACATACCACAGGTGCCATAAGTGCCACAGGTGTCACAAGTGCCATATACGTCAGACATACCACAGGTGCCATAAGTGCCACAGGTGTCACAAGTGTCACATACGTCAGACATGCCACAGGTGCCATAAGTGCCACAGGTGTCACAAGTGTCACATACGTCAGACATGCCACAGGTGCCATAAGTGCCACAGGTGTCACAAGTGTCACATACGTCAGACATACCACAGATGCCATAAGTGCCACAGGTGTCACATGTGTTGCAACGATACAGCCCACATGCTTCATCTTGCACACATCACCTTTTAATTAAGGGCAATGAATAAGTAAACCAGACGCAGGTAATTAACTTCTTCATTAAAGACAATAATCCTCTTCGCTAAAGGTCATTAGTTTAAAAATTCAGGGTAATAAAATTTGAAAGCTGATGCTGCTAAATTACATCTAGTTTCATAACACAACATCCTCATTAATTTACTTAGAGTCTTTGTCTGATTTACTCACTGACGGAGACAAACTGATATTTTACTCATTCACTCAGTAAAGAATAACTCACTCACTCACTTATTCCTGCATTATTTTACTTTTTTTATTCCAGATCTTATTCTTGTACTTTCTCCAATTCCCAATCTTTATTTATATTTTCCTTATTCCAAATATTAATCTTATTTTTCATCCTATACCCAATCTGTTTTCTTCTTATTCCAAATGTTAATCTTAAATCCTTTTCCCAGTCTTCTTTATATTTTCCTTTATTCCTAATGTCAATCTTATATTTCCTTCTATTCCCATTCCCATTCCTGAGCCCTTCCCCTCCTTCATCACACAACACGGACACAAGAAACAGATGGATGGTCGACTCACCCTTGAGACCCAGACAAATCTGCCACTCAGGGTATGATGCATCGTTATCACCTGACACCTGACACCTGACACCCCCATCCCCGCCACGCGCCCCCTGACCTGAGGTGATCTGAGGGACCTAAGACGACCACCATCATCAACATCACCAACGCCACCAACTTCACTCCACCACCACCACCTCCACCACCACCACCACCACACACACTGAGGGAATCTCTCTCTCTAAAATACGAGTTTGTAGAAATTACCAGCCAGGGGACGTAAGAGGAATTAATTAATAAACAATGTGTTTTTGCTCGTAACAAGGCTAATAAAGTACTTGGGTTCATACAAAGGAGTGTTAGTTACAAGACTAGCGAGGTCATCCTAAAACTGTATCTTGCTCTTGTGAGACCACACCTGGATTACGCAGTTCAGTTCTGGTCACCGTATTACAGAATGGATATAGAATCCTTGGAAAGAATTCAGAGGAGAATGACAAGACTAATCCCGGGCATTAGGAACCTTGAGTATAGAGACAGGTTAAAGCATCTTAATTTGCACTCCTCGAGAGACGTAGAGCGAGGGGCGACCTGATAGAGGTGTATAAGTGGAAGTCAGGGCTAAACAAAGGGGACATTACAAAGGTACTCAAACTATCCAACCAGGAGCGAACTCGTAACAATGGTTTTAAATTAGACAAATTTAGATTTAGGCGTGAAATAGGTAAACACTGGTTTGGAAACAGAGTAGTGGATGAATGGAACAAGTTACCAAATATCATCATTAACTCGAATACGCTGAATTGCTTCAAACATAGGTTGGATGCTCATATGAGCAATAGGGGTTGGGTGTAAACGGGACTGCCCAGTATGGGCCAATAGGCCCGTTGCAGTTTCCTCCATTCTTATGTTCTTATGTAGTAAAGAATTAAGTGAAGTGCTGTATATATGTTAGTCGTTAGTTGATAATTAGAGGGATTTAACTTATATTGGTGAGTTGAAGTAGCAGGAGATTAAGTAGAAATTAATTGATAAAAAACTATAATACTTTGATAGATAGATAGATAGATAGATAGACAGATAGATAGATAGATAGAAGGTATGAAACATAACAAAGGTGTAATATCCAAGGTAAAATATAAGACAGGTGATGTTAAGAGTCGAGTGTTGGGGGATGGAGAGTGTAATTACCTGTGGACTAGTGCAGGTAAGAGGCGCCGTCACAATTATCCACGGTAGAGGAGTCTCATTGCCTGTCATGAAATGTGAGTTGGAAACGGAAGGGAATTTATACCATGGTGATGTTTGGAATAGTGTTAGTATATACATAAATATACCGGTATACTGTACATACAAACACACATACTAGAACATATTACATTAATAAACATACATGAATACATATAACACACTCATACATATCACACAAAATAAATACATTTACCCACAAACCCTCACTGGCGTCTCTCTCTCTCTCTCTCTCTCTCTCTCTCTCTCTCTCACCTTGAACATAAAACGCTATAATCCCCGTAAATTACAGACACATGTAAATACAACACAGGGTCAGAAGTACATTGACTGTCCCTCTCCCACACACAGATTATCCTTCCCTTCCCTTTCATAGTAGTAATGATGATGATGATGATGATGATGATGATGATGATGATGATGATGATGATGATGATGATGATAGTGGTGACTGGTTGACTGACTAACTTTGGCAACCCGTTAACTAATGACTTGATGATGTACGGGTTGTGGATTGATTATTTACGTCTGTCTGTCCGTCTGTCTGTCTGTCTGTCCGTCTGTCTGTCTGTCTGTCTATCATCCAATATAAGCACAAAGAAGTGTTCAGGCGCCGGATTTGTCTGTTTACGATCACCGGCAGTAACAGAGGGGTATTAACCTCTTATTCCCAACACAACTACAACACTTTGACATCTGTTTCGTAAATGACAGATCGGTAATCTTTCCCCGTTTTCTGCTGTAGGTTATGAGGTGTGTGTGTGTGTGTGTGTGTGTGTGTGTGTGTGTGTGTGTGTGTGTGTGTGTGTGTGTGTGTGTGTGTGTGTGTGTGTGTGTGTGTGTGTGTGTGTGTGTGTGTGTGTCTGTCTGTGTGTGTGTGTGCTTTTTAACATCAGGTAAACTCGTCAGTGCGGGTGGCGGTGTGGTGAGGAATGAGCACCGCACACACACACACACACACACACACACACACACACACACACACACACACACACACACACACACACCATCAGGGATACAGTGGTAAAAAACAAACTTTCCTTTCATCACAAAAAAACAGCATTAAATTCTCATCGCCAAAGGACGCAATAAAACTCATCTCTCTTTCGGTCATCACCCCTATTAGACGTGTCCCGAAACCGCCAGGTACCCAATAACACCTCAGGTACACACTTTACATGCAGATCATCCTCCCTACAACCCTCCCAGGGAGTCATTTAAGGCCAACCACCTGTCATAAATTGGTGTACTATGAAGTCTAATTGGTGCGGGGGCGTCACTTCCTCGGTTCAGTACAGTATATAAACAACCGAAGCCTCGCCTTGCCTCAGTGACCTCTTCTCTTTAGTCTTTTAAGTACAGTAATTCACATCAGGACGTAGAATAAAAAGGTCTGAACTTAGCACCAATCTCTATAGTGGTATGGTGAATCGTCGGGACTTTTTTCGTTTTTTTTTTTAATAAAGAAAATGTCCAAAAATTCCTACACTTTCTCTCACTAAACACAAGCTACCACACGGCCACAACATCAGCTGTCAGCGTAGCCTCAGAGCTGGTGTCGGGTAGCGAAGTTCCTGATCGGCTTTTTGTTGACGGTGGAAGGAATAAA